GGTACGTGGCTGTGCACACGCATCTCCTGTGCAGATGGGAGGGGGGCGCTGGGATGCTTTGCCAGCCCACCAGGCTTGCCTGGTGTCGGGGATAGAGCGGGGACAGGAAAGGGGGTTGCAGGAGGGGCGGACACGTGTGTGGCCTGGGGTGGGAAGGCTTGTGCAAGGGCCCTGCGGGGAAATGCCAGCCACCCCAGTGGTTGGGAAGCATCCACTCCATGCTGTACAGGTGATTTTTGTCTTTTCTTTGTCTTCCTCTTCCCCGCTCCTTCCTCCTCCTCTTCCTTCTCAGAAGAGACAAGCAAGGACTGCAAGGAAGAAGGTGAGGGCTGGTGACAGCCTTTGCGTGGGGGGTGGGGAGTGGACACATTGAGGAAGAGGCTGGGTGTCAAGGTCCCCATCCCAGTGTCCTCCGGAAGGAGCCACAATCCCCAGTATGCCTTCCTCCCAGTTACCTCCCCCCCCCCCCACACACACTCGATGAGCCAGGAGCTCCGCCTACACCAGCAGCTCATCCAGGGGCTCACATTGACCTGTGCCCTTCTTTCCCGTGGAGTGTTTGAAAGAAAACCACACAAACAAGGCTCCCTGTGATTCAGGTGATGGGGGCAGCTCAGGAGAGACGGCACACAGGGCACACAGGGCTGGTGCGTGGCTCAGTGGTAAAGCACCTGCCTGAAAGCATGACGCCCTGAGTTCTAATTTGGCCAGGAAGAATGGAAGGATGGAAGGAAGGAAGGAAGGAGAAAGGAAAGAACAGAGGGGGCAAGGAAACACATCAGTGGGTCTCACTAGTTTTATAAATTACAAACATTAATAACTCTGGAATTGAAAATAGAAAACAGAAATTAAGAATTCCGTTTCTGACAACCTGTATTGCTACCAGGACAGAGAATACAATTGAGACTAAAGTGGGTAAAGGCATCACACACACACACACACACACACACACACACATACAAACACGAGAGGCCAGGTATGTGGTTCAGTGGTTGAGTACCTACCTGGCCACACAAAGCTCTGAGTTCAAATCCCAGTACTGCCCAAAACAGATTCATACCCATGTTAACAACACAAATGCTTACATGCGAGAAAGTTTCTAATCTTACCAAAGTATTCCAAACACTGGAAGTCTCTGCTGGGAGGGAGAACATGGCTTCCTAAATTCCTACCGAGAACATGTTTTCGTCTCTCCTGAGTTTACGTTCACACTGATAGCGTGATTTTGACCTGGGATTTTATGTGTAAACTGGTATGTCTGCCCATGAGTTTTGAGTTTTCTTTTAAAACAGATGATGAAAAGAAGCCTGGGTGGTGGTAGCGGCCCCGCTGTTTAAAATAAGGTGATGGTGAAGCCAGTGGCAAGAGGAGAGGTTTGCTTGTCTGGGCCGGGCTGGTGCGGCTGAGCATGGGGCCGCCAGTGCAGGCAGTGGGCACAGGCAGGAAGGGCTGGCTTCCAGGAGGGAGCGGATGAGCTAGGCCTCACACCTTCACTTGTCCCCAGCAAATCCAGTGAACCCAGAGGACCCAGCGAACCCAGCACACCCAGTGGACTCAGTGAACCCAGTGAACACAGCAGATCCAGTGAACCCAGCGAACCCAATAAATTCAGTGAATCCAGTGAACCCAGTGTACCCAGTGTACCCAGCGAACCCAGTGTACCCAGCGAACCCAGTGTACCCAGCGAACCCCGTGTACCCAGAGAACCCAGTGTACCCAGCGAACCCAGTGTACCCAGCAAACACAGTGTACCCAGCAAATCCAGAGAATCCAGTGCATCCAGTGAGGATCGTGCCAGCCACCATCCAGCCCCTGAGATCCAGCCGGAGGCGGCCGGGGTGGAACTTCCTGAGGTGTGCCTACATGATGGTCACCTTCATCTTCGTGTCCTACAACAGAGGGGACTGGGTAAGGCCTCTAAGCCAGGACACCATGGATGCTGAGCGGAAGGGAGGGAGTTAGAAAAAGGAAGGAGTCACAGGCTGGACATCGCTGGCTCACGCCTGTCATCCTCGCTACCCAAGAGGCTGAGATCTGAGAATCGAGGTTTGAAGCCAGCCTGGGCAGGAAAATCTGTGAGACTCTTTTTTTTTTTTTTTTTCTGGTCATGGGTCCTAATTGTGGGCCTGGGCGCTGTCCCCAGCTCTTCAGCTCAAGGCAAGTGCTCTACCACTAGAGCCACAGTGCCACTTCCGGCTTTTTCTGCTTATGTGGTGCTGAGGAAATGAACCCAGGGCCTCATGCATTCAAGGCAAGCACTCTACCACTAAGCCACCTTCCCAGCTCGTGAGACTCTTATCTCCAATAAACCACAGAAAACCCGAAGTAGCGCTGTGGCAAGTGGTAGAGTGCTGGCCTTCAGGGCAAAAAAGCTCAGGGATAGTGCCCAGGCCCTGAGTTCAAGTCCCAGGACCTGCCCATGCACACACACACACACCACACGAACACACAGGTGTCACAGAAGCCACTTATGGGGACAGAGAACTGGAAAATGAGAGGTGGGCCTAGACCGGGGTGGCTGAGGTAGGACAGGGCAGTTAGACAGGATTCCGCAGCAGGGAGGAGGGCAGGGGGAAGGAGGAAGAAGGGGGACAATGGGGGAAAGGAAGCTCACTGTGTCTTCCTCTTGTCCTCCCAGTGCTACTGCCACTATTGTAGCCTAGAGCTGGACTTCAGGTATGGTGCAGCGGAAGGGCCAGGCTTCCCGCCTGTGGTCCCATGGGGCGGTCCACTCCCAATACTGCGAGTTTATCACTGTGAACTTCAAGCTGCTTCCTGTCCTGAGCAACAAATGCGGGGGTTGCCAGGTGCCGGTGGCTCAGGTCTGTCATCCTAGCTACTCAGGAGGCTGAGATCTGAGGATGATGGTTCAAAGCCAGCTAGCAGGAAAGTCCAAGACTTTCTTATCTGCAATGAACCAGAAAGACTGCCCCCCCTCCCCCAGGGCTCAGGCGCACAGAGCACCCTGTTGAGGTGCAGAGTAGCTTCCTCTAGTGGAGGGGGGGAGGGGGTGGAACTGAGGCATCACACCTTGAACTAGATGCTGAGACTGGTGTGTGTGGGACAAGAGGTGGGGTGAATGTGGGCTCCAGGGGTGGGTGGGCAAGGAGTTGGAGAATGCATGATGTGAAGAAATACACATACATTTCTTTCTGTTTTTTCCTCCCTCAGACGTGACCCCTGCTGTGCTTTCTGAGGACCCCTGCCTTCCCGTGTCCCCAGAGAGCTGTGGCCCTGAGTGGAGGGTGACGGGGAGCATGACCTGCCCTCCCTCCCTCCTACATGGCGGGCAGGGAGAAGCCATCTGTCCTCATAATCATCTCTTCCCCCCCCCCCCCACATCTCCATCCTGCTCTGCTGCTGACATTAAATTCGTGCTCCATGAATGGCCGAGTGCCTGGTCCTTCCATTCAGCAGAGTGGCAGGGTTGCCAAGCACTGGACGCCGTCTGGCCCCGGTGGCAGGGCCAGCAGCTCTGGAATGTGTGCGCATCGCATGTGGGAAGCCGGAGCTCAGCCAGGTCTGTCTCTATTCTCTGGCGGCGATGTTGGGGGCCAGCACTGAGGACATAAAAGTAGAGACCTGGCTGTCCTGGAGTGGGCCGTCTCAGCTCTTCAGCCCTGCCCCGTGTGTGTGTGTGTGTGTATTGGTCCTGAGGCTTGAACTCAGGGTGTGGGTGCTGTCACTGAGCTTTTTTCCCACTACTTAAGCCACAATTCCACTTCCAGCTTTTTGGTGGTTAACTGGAGATTAGAGTCTTACAGACTTTTCTGCCTGGGCTGGCTTTGAACCAGCATCCTCTGATCTCAGCCTTGGAGTAGCTGGGATTGCAGGTGTGAGCCACCAGTGCACGACATTATTAAACAAATGAAGGTGTAGAAGCAGCCATAACTCTGAGCCCCCGGGGTTCTTCCTTCAACTCCTGACAGGAATACCACGGGGCCTGCACACCGACTCCTGGGTCCCAGTTCCACAGGCCACACAGGCCTGAGACCAAAATGAACTGGTGTGCCTTCCTGTGTGTGCAGCTCTTACCCCCCCCCCCTTCCCTAGAGACTCTGGTTGCACACCCTCTCCTCCCCGGGCACCTGGGTGCCCACCCTGTGGTAAATGCCTCAGTGTCTTGCCTTAGAAAGCTCATGGGTCAGGTTAGGCCTGGTGGTTCATGCCTGTAATCCCAGACGGTCAGGAAGCAGAGATGGGAGGATGGAGGGTGAAGACCAGGCCAAGTCATCTAAAACACAAAGGCCAAGAGGGCTGGGGGCCTGGCTTCAGTGGAGAGCACTGGCCTGAGATCAAACCCCACACCACCCACCCCAGATCACCCCCACCAAGCCACCCACCACACCACACACCATACACCACACACACCAAGCCACACCTACCCAGACCACACCCACCAAGCCACACATCACACCCACCCCAGACCACTCCCACACCCACCCCATCCCACACACACCACACACAAAGGGTCTTGGGCAAAGAACGGCCCCTAGGTGGTCAGGCAGATCCTAGCCAAGGCCCTCACACCCCTTCGCTTCCGGTTAGGGGCGTGGCGGCTCGGGTCGCGCTGGCTTCTGGGAGTGGTAGGCCGAGTTCGCTCCGCCCACACGCGCCACGAGCCAGTCAAACTCCACAGAGCCCCGGTCGCGGGCCCTTCGGACGGGAACATGCCACATGGTTGCCGAAGGCTGCGGCTACGGGTCTGCCTCCGGCCGAAGCGCCCGAGCCGCCCGGGAAGGCGCCTTCGCGCGGGAGCGCGTCCGGGCTGCCGACAGCCAGGCCGAATAACGGCGCGAGACCCTTGTGCGCGGGCGGGCGCAGGGGCGTGCGGGGCCTCGTGCGGGGGCTCAGACTCCGATTGGGTGAGCGTGCTGCGGGTGGGTGGGTGGCGTGACCTTGCGCTTCCGGGAAAGCCCTGGGGGGCGGGACCGTGCCTGCCTACGTGACGTATTGCGTATGAGGGGCGTGGCCCTCGCGGAGCTCCGGGGTCTCGGAGACCAGTGCGCAGGCGCGGGGGTCGTGGGTTGCACTGTGGAGGCCGGGTGGTGGCGCAGCTGCGGCCGGAGGTGTTGCGTGGATCTGCCTCGCGGGGACGCAGGTGACGGGGACAGGGGGCGCGTGGCTACGCGGGGTCGGCGGGCCCCGGGTTGGTTAGGTGGTCGGTGCGTGGGCACAGTGACACCCGTCAGGCCGCCCGCGGCTCGCGTCCGGGGCCCTGTGCAGGCTGGCCGGCCCGGAAGGCGGTGCGGGGCTGCGGCTCCAGATTTTCTGTGTCCGGAGCTGCTTAGGTGGACGGGAGGTGGTCAGCACCTGCTCGGGGGAGGGGCTGGGGGGGTCGGCGGGACGGTGAGACGTCACCCATGAGACGTCATCGCCGACCGACGTCATCAGGAAGAGAGGACGGCAGACTCCCCCCTCCCCCCGCCCCCGGAAAGCCTGAGCGGCGGAGCCCCGCGGGCAGGGGGTCCTGGAGCTGGGGTGTCCATCCCGGACCCCCAGCTAAGCTCCTGCCTCACCTGGATGCGTAGTGTGCATGAGCAGGAAGGCGGCCCAGCCTGGCCTGGCCTCTGACCCCGGGTCGTGCCCTTCTAGCGGGGCGCCCTGGGGGTGCGGATTGCAGCACCCCCCCCCTCGCCCCAGGCCTGTTCGGTCACCCTGCCGTCTAGCCGGGGCAGCACCCTTAGCTCATGCACCCTCAGCTCGCCCTGCTCCTCCTCCAGCGGCCCTCAGGGTCCCCCTGAATCTCTCCATCAGGTCCCCTGCCGCAGAAGCTGCTTGTGGACCAAGCCCCTGGCTGGAGCCAGCAATGGTAGGTGACTGCGCTGCTGTCCCTTTGTGGCCCGACAGATCGCCAGATTCCTTGGCGCCAGACCGCTCGTGTGAGCCTTCAACACCTGTGAATCCTCCTGGTAATTCACCTTACTGTTGTTTGGTGATTACCCTTCCTTCCTCCCTCTCTCCCTTCCTTTATGCCTGCCCAAGTCTTGGAGCCTCTTTGTGCTCAAAGCTAGTGCCCTACCACTAAAGCCACAGCACCACTTCTGGTTTTCTGAGTGGTTTATTGGAGATCAAAGTCTCATGGACTTTCCTGCCCAGGATGGCTTCCAATCTCGACCCTCAGATCTCAGCCTCTTGAGTAACTGGAATGACAGGCGTGAGCAGTTGGTGTCTGGCTGTGATTAGGTGATCACTCCTTCTTAAATACTGCTCTGACCTGCAAGCAGCCAAGCGTAGCTACCACCAGTGGCTCACACCTGTAATCTTAGGAGTAATCTTGTAATCTTGGGGACCCCTCCCAAGGCCAGCTACCCTCATGATGTTCTTCTCTCCAGCCCGGCCTGCCCGTGCTCCGTCCCCCTGAGTGGAGCGTCAGGAGGACAGGATGGCTGTCGTGCGCAGGAAGTCCCGACCCAAGGTGGGTGGCCATTCCCCTGGCTTTGGGAACATCCCGTTCTCATACAGTGGGGCCCATCTGCTCTGCTTCCAGAAACTTCCTGCCCATGGGAGACCAAAGCCACAGAGGCCAAGCTGTGAGGTGCACTAGCTTGCTATTCCAGCATGTTCCACCCCCTGGAGATCATCAAACAATTGTCATAGAAACCCCTGGGACGTGCTTCCCCTAGAGAGTTGTGCTTTTAATTCCTTCTTCCTGCCACAGTAAGTCCTCCACAACTGGTCAGCGCAGAACAGCACATCTTTTGTCCTGTACCCAGGTGGGCTGCCGTACACCAGGCCCCGAGTGGCTTAGCTGGGTCCTCAGCATGAGTCTCCTAGAGCCAGAGTCAAGGCATGGCTGGCTCATGTCTTGTGTGGGAGTAGGTGTTCTTCCAGGTTTGCCAGTTACTCATTTTGGTCTCACATCTCCATCTTCAGGACAGAGACAACAGTCAAGCCAGCCAGCCCAAGACCTCCGTGTGGTTATGTTGTTGATTTTTTTTTTTTTTTTTTGGTCATAGGGCTTGAACTCATGGCTTTTCTGCTCAAGGTTAGCCCCCTACCACTTTGAGCCACAGCACCACTTCTGGTTTTCTGGTGGTCAGTTGGAGATAAGCTTCTCATGGACTTTCCTGTCCTGGCTGGCTTTGAACCATGATCCTCAGATCTCAGCCTCCTGAGTAGCTAGGATTACAGGCATGAGCAATTAGCACCCATCTTGGTGGTCCCTATTTTAAAGTCTTGTTACGTGAGGGTCAGCTGGGGTGTTGCCTCAGTGACACCGTGAGGCATGCCCATGCCAGATGTGACACTCCTGGGCCCTCTGCAGGGCCTGCTGGGAGCCAGGCTGCCAGGCTGGGCTCACTCCTCTGGTAAGCAGCTATGGCCTGAAGTAAGTCCCCTCACCCCCTGGGCCCTTGTCCCTTCTGCATTGTTGCTGTGACCCCCATTGGCACAAGCCCTTCCAGTCAGGTGCTCAGGAAATACCGGAGATCCAGCTTGCTCTGGTTTTATGCTTCAGAACAGCTTTATGTTTCAGAACAGCCCTGTCACACGTTACAGGTGAATGCATTGCCCTTGCCTGTCACATGGGTCTCCTGTGTGTCACCTTCTCCAGGCGGGAGGCATCACCCATGGTGAGTGGACGTGTGATTGTGCGTTTCAGGCGCCTGTGACATTTGGAGACTTGGCCATTCACTTCTCCCAGGAGGAGTGGGAGTGGCTGAGCCCCACACAGAAGGATCTGTATGAAGACGTCATGTTGGAGAACTTCCAGAACCTGGTCTCTCTGGGTAAGGCCCTTCTCCCTGTCCACTCCCACCATCAAGGGAGTGGAAGCCACTCCAGTATGCCTTTCTTTTTAATTGTTCATACCTTTGTCCAGTGTGTCTGCCTTTGACACACTGGACAAGTCGTCCACAAAAAGAACATGGCTGAGTGTCCTCCGCTGTGCCCTTTGCCCCACCATCTGCCTCAGAGCCCAGAAGACCCCGTGCCATTGTCAGCCATCTTCACTTCCCCTGCGCCTCACCCACATCAGGTCCACTAGGCCTCTTTCGTTCATCCTTTGGATTTGCATACTAGGGATTCATACACAGGGGGCTTCTTGTGCTCAAGCATGTGTTTGAGGTTCATTCATGTCATAGCACATACTAGTACTTCATTCCTCTTCATCGCTGAGTACTATTCCATGTGTGCATATAACTGCCCTTGTTTACTTTTTCATTAATTGATGGACATTGGTTTTCCATTCTTAGGAACTGCTGCTGTGAACACTCACACTTTGTGTAGACATTTGTGCACATGTCTCGGGTGTATGAGTGAGAATATGGAAAATATGTAATTTTTTTGAGGACACCCAAGTTTTGAGAGGATTGAAAAGGTAGTGTTTAAGGGAGAATTGTGGGTACCAGTGTGACAGGTGGCACCTAGGGGCAGCTAGGAGAGGGATGGGGTGGAGTTGTTAGGATGTAGAGAAAGGGTCAAAAGTCTGAGTCTGCAGTTTGGGATGGGGATTAGAGAAGTGGGGGTGGGAGTGTGTGGGGGGTGGAGTGGGTGGGAAATGGGGTGGAGTGGGGGATGGGGGTGGGAGGTGGGGGATGGAGTGGACTGCCTGTCTTGTTTATACCTCTGAGGCAGAAATGAGACCAGTTCTGGGGAGCAGGGGATGGAGCAGCCTGCAGGTGGGTGCGGGGCACCATGCAACACTGCTTGGGAGCTTGGGATTTGGAGATGGTGTGCTTGGCCATCCTGAGACCCCCACTGTGCTGGGGGGGTAGAACCCAGTGTTCACCCGGCTGCGAGTCCTCTTGCGGGCACACAGGCAGCACTTGGGAGGGTCCAGGATGTGGTATGTTGGTTTGTCATACACAGTGTCACCTCAGCTGCCCTCCAGGGCATGTGGGCTCCTCTCATGCCCATGGTGTGTCCTGGTGACACGAGCTTGTCTCAGCTTCTGAGGCATGGAGTCACAGTCAACCTGGGGTTTGGTGTTATGCTTCATGCAGGTCTGTGCTGTCGGAGGCCAAATGTGATCACCTTACTGGAGATGGGAAAGGCACCGTGGATGGTGGAGCCGAAAAGCTGCCGGGGCCCTGGTGAGTCTAGTCCTTGGGGCTGCAGCCATGCAATGTCCGTTGTGTTGTTGAGTGCACAGAAGTTCACCTGACATACCTCAGAGATGGGCCAGCCCCATGGACGGGCTGACATAGCCCTTCCTGGGTCTCGGGAGGGGCGGGCAGCCTGTGGGGCCTTTTTTTTGTTGTCAGTCATGGGGCTTGAACTCTGGGCATGGGTGCTATCCCTGAGTTCTTCAGCTCAAGGCGAGCGCTCTACCACTTGAGCCCCAGGGCCACTTCCAGTTTTCTAGTGGTTTTTATTGGAGATAAGAGTCTCACTTTGAATCGTGATCCTCAGATCTCAGCCTCTTAAGTAGCTAGGATTACAGGCATGAGCCACCAGTGCCCCGGTCCTGTGGTGCTGATTCCTTTCGTGAGGCCCCACTGGGTGCCATGGGACTACGGGGTGGTGGCAGAGCCAGCTTTGAAGAGCCAGCCTTCTCTGTCCAGATGCTCATGCTCCCTAGTCTCCCATAGACCCCCCCACCCCCCTTCCAGGGTTTGAACTCAGCCTGCACTCACACCACCACAGATCCAGGCCTATATTTTCAGGATTGGGTTTCCAGTCAGTCCAGCCCGTCCTGCCCCAGGGTGTTTGTGGTCTGTGATCCACCTGCTTTAGGCCCTGCATACTTGCTGGGATGATGGATGTGTGCTAGTGGGACCAGTGTTTTTGCTGGGATGGTTTTATCGCCCCAGTCGGAGTCCTGGTGCTCATTCATGATTAACCCCCATTCCCACCTGGAGGCCCAGGAACTGCTCATCTCTCTACATTTGCCTTCTGTGCACATTTTGTATCACATGTGTAACAAGTGCTAATCTATGGACTTTATGGTGATATAATGTATAAGATTTATTCTTTATTCTAAATACAAACGACTTCGAGCTGCACGACCTCTTCAATTCCAGTTATTAAATACTTGTGCAAAGCCTTTTACATTAGAGTCACCATAATGCACTGAGAGTCCCCGCCCCAGTGGCACTGTTCTTTTTTTTTTTTTTTTTGGCACTGTTCTTGAGTAGCAGTGATGATGACTGTGCTTTTTCTTGGTTATGTTTCTTTTTTGGGGGGGATCCGGTCGTGGGCCTGAACTCTGGGCCTGGGCGCTGTCCCTCAGTGATTCAGCTCAAGGCCAGCGCTCTACCTCTTGAGCAGCGCCACTTCCGGCTTTTTTTTCTGTTTATGTGGTGCTGAGGAATCGAACCTAGGGCCTCATGTGTGCAAGGCAAACACTCTACCACTGAGCCACCTTCCCAGCCCTATATTTCTTTTTTAAGTTGTTGCACACAGCGTTTCGGCCGGCACGTCCGTTGAGGTCAGGGCTTTGCCCTGCGTCCTCCTCCATCCTCTAGCCGCCCGCCATGCCCAGCACTCAGCTCGGCTCTCCCCGTGCGGGGGACAAACCCTGAACTTCTTGGTGTTTTTCAGACTCAGGGTCTCAATGCGTGAGGACGAAGTTACCACCGGACAGGCGCTGCCTCCGCGGGAAGCTGGGTTTCCTGCTGCCGCCACCAAGGCCACCAGAGCCCACCTGGAGTCAGCACGCCAGCCACCGCCTGCCCGCAGGGAAGCCCCGGCCAGGGCCCGCAAGGAAAGGCGTGCCGGGGCGCCAGGGCCCTCTTCGGTGCGGGGCCTGCGGGAGGGGCTTTGGCCGACTCGTGTCCCTGCTGCTCCACCGCGGGCGCCACCGAGGGCAGCCGGGCTGGCGGTGTGACACCTGCGGGGCACGCTTCACCCGGAGAACCACCCTTCTCCTGCATGTGAGAGGTCACCGGGGGGCGGCCCCCTCGCGCCCACCGCTCCGTGCCCTCCACCGGACCGCACCCCTGGGCCTGCGAAGGGTGCATGCGCGGACCCCTGCCGAGGGGCCTGGTAGCCCGCGCATCTCAGAGAATCCCTTCGCGTGCGGGAGGTGTGGGCGGCTTTTCGGGGGCGTCTCGGCCCTGGTGCTCCACCAGAGAGCGCACGCCTCGGGAAGGCCGCGCAAGTGGGGCCCGCGCAGGACTGGCTCCGGGCGGTCCCTGGCCCTTGAGGTGCTCGCGCGGGTGCACGCCGCAGGGGGGCGGGGCGTTGGGCGGGGGCGAGACAGGGATGCAAGTGCGAGAGTCGCCGCCTGGGCACCGCACCCCGGGGCCCACGGTGAGACCAGGAAGCGCCTAGAATGCAAGGACTGCGGGAAGGCGTTCTCCAGACCCACGAACCTGAAGATCCACCGGAACGTCCACTCGGAGGAGAAGCCCTTCAAGTGCACTAAGTGCTGCAAGGCGTTTGGGCGCCAGGCCTTCCTCGTGGAGCACCAGCGGATCCACACCGGGGAGAAGCCATACCGGTGTGAGCAGTGCGGGAAGGCGTTCAGCCACCGCATCTCCCTCTCCCGCCACCGGCGGACCCACACGGAGGACAGGCCCTACGCGTGCGCACGCTGTGGCAAGGCCTTTGGCCAGCGCGCGCACCTGGCGCAGCATGAGCGCATCCATACCGGGGAGCGGCCGTACGCGTGCCCGGCGTGCGGGAAGGCCTTCGGCCAGCGCACCTCCCTCGTCCTGCACGAGCGCAGCCACACCGGCGAGCGGCCCTACGCGTGCCGCGAGTGCGGGAAGGCCTTCAGCAGCGGCTCCGACCTCATCCGCCACCAGCGGAGCCACTCGGCGGAGAAGCCCTACACGTGCGGCGCCTGTGGCAAGGCCTACAGCCGCAGTTCGTCCCTGGCCCGCCACCAGAGTGCGCACGCGGCAAAGCGGGCCTGAGGCGGGGCGGGGCTCCGGGACAGAGCCGCCAGGGCGCGCTTGCCGCCCGCCCGAGGCGGGGCTCTGGGACTGAGTGCGCACGCGGCGGGCCGGGCCGCTGGGTGAGGTTGGAGCCCGAGGCGCGGCGGTGTGGCTTCCTCTCAGTCGGTCTGTGACAGAAGAGGGCTGCTCTCGGTTCTGCGGAGCAGGGGAGCACGGGTGAGCCGCGGGCACCAGGCGCGCTCTTGGACGTCCTTGAGCGCAGGGCGGGGAGGACTGGCCTTTTTACCTGCGTGCATGTGTCTTATATTTACCTGAATAAACGTGTGGCGTGTGATGTGTGGCCTGGACGCTTGCGCCACCCCAGAAGACATCGGCGGGAGACCCAAGGCCGGGCCGGGCCGGGCAGTCGGGGTAGCATTGGGATGGCGATGTGCGCTCGCCGGCCGGCGGTCTTGCCGGCCCCTGCCGGGTCCGCGCCCTCGCCATGGACCCGCAGCCTCCGGAGGCTCGACGCTGCTCCTTGTCTGTGGCCGTCGAGCAGAAGCGTTGGCTGCTCGAGACCCCGAGCCGGTGACCTCCGCGCCCCCTCCTGCCGATGGCCGGTGACCCCTGCACCCTGGCTGTCTGTTCGCCGCACGGGTTAAAGTCAGAGCTCCCGTGGGATGGGCGGCACCGGCTCATATAAGTTTTCCTCAAAAGACTCCTTTTGCGGGGGCTGGGAAGGTGGCTCAGTGGTAGAGCGCTTGCCTTGCATGCATGAGGCCTTGGGTTCGATTCCTCAGCACCACATAAGCAGAAAAGGCCAGAAGTGGCACTGTGGCTCAAGTAGTAGAGTGCTATCCTTGAGCTGAAGAGCTGAGGGACAGACAGTGCCCAGGCCGAGTTCAGGCCCCACGACCGGACCCAAAAGAAGAAAGAATCACTGTGGATCAAGGATTGATGGTGCGCACATGTGCATGCCAGTACTAGATCTTGAACTCAGGACCTTGGTACCCTCCCTTAATTTTCTTGTTCAAGGCTAGCTCTCAGCCACTAGATCCACTTCTGGCTTTTTGCCAATTACTTGGAGATAAGCGCTCACAGACTTCCCTGCCCCTGCTGGTTTCAGAAGTCCATCCTCACACCTCAGCCTCCAGAATAGTGAGGATTATAGGAGTGAACCACCAACACTTGGCTTTATTTGTTTTCTGCATGCCTCTAAGGGCTAGAGCTTGAGAGTACTTGGGCAGAGTACTCCTCGAGCTCCCGCTCCAGCCCTGCGATCGATATGGGGTGATACCATGTCACCCTCCAAGATGCTGCACCTGTTCTTCCCATAGTTCAGTTTTGGTAAAGAGGATTTCTGTATGTCAGGGTGGGCGTCTGCCAACAAGTCCCTCCTTTGGGGTTGTCCTTGGCAGTTACCTTAATCTGGGAAGGTCATGCCCTTTCCTAATCTGGTTATGACCCTCCCCCTTGCTTTGGGCCACCATTCTTATCTAAAGACCCACCTAAGTGCTTAAGCTTGAATGATAAATCTTTCTTTAGATTCCAAGAGCTCCGAACATCCTGGGGCCTTCCTAACTCCTGTCTTAATTCTTAGTGCTGTTATTCACAGCACTATAAGAAAAACAAAAACAAAAAACCTGGGAAGACAAATCCCAGAAACTACTGTCTCCAACTAACCAGCAAAAAGCCAGAAGAGGATGAAGTGATCTAGTGCTGGCCTTAAGCAATAAAGCTAAGCCAGAGGGTGAGGCCCTGAATTGTAGTTCCAGCCCGGGCATACTCACTAGTTAAGGTGCCCCTTTGTGCTTTCAGATGGGCGACTTTCTGTGTGCCTGCTTCTTTGTGGTCCTCTGAATGTGGTGTGATCTTATTTTACATTAATATCTGAGTTATTACTTTATGCTAGGCACTCTGCTGAGTAATTTACATGCACTGTTTTTATTTTTTTTCCCATTAACTTTTGAGGTAGTACCATTACTGTTCCCATAATATAAATAAGACTCATAAAGTGGTAGAGTGAGGACTGGCACCCACTTCTATTTGATGCTGGAATAAGCTGTTGGTTCTGGGTAATCATGCAGACAGTGAGATGGGAAATGACAGGAAGGCCTTGGGAAGCGGCCGGAGCCAGGCCTTTTGTGGGTATGGAACCTTCCAGGGCTTTTGAGGATACGTGCTTCAGCCTAAGAACTCTTGTTGTCAGCTGAGGAGTTTTAATGAGGGAAAAAACCAAAATGTGAGTTTGGTTTAAGTGTGGGCAGCTGACAGAGGTAATGGTGAATGCAGGGACACCCGTTCTGTTTGCTTGTTTGTTTTTTTGGTGGTCATGGGGCTTGAACTCTGGGCTTGGGCGCTTTTCCTGCGCTCTTCAGCTCAAGGCGAGCATTCTACCGCTTAAGTCTCAGCACCATTTCCGGTTTTCTAGTGGTTTATTGGAGATGAGAGTCTCACTGACTTTTCTGCCTGGGCTGGCTTTGAACCGTGATCCTCAGATCTCATCCTCCTGAGTAGCTAGGATTACAGGCGTGAGCCACTAGCACCCGGCCAGGGACACCTGTTCTGAAGCTGTTCCACATTCCTGTTGAACAGGTGAATGTGTGTTGCACAAAGATGATGAAATGGATTGATGGGTGGGATTCCAGTTAAGAGATAAAGCTTACAGCCCTTGGCAACTGGCTGGATGTAGAGGGCAAGGGAGAGGAGAGGACCAAGAATGATTCCATCGAATGAATTTTCTCATGATGAGCAAGGTGTGCACGCTGTCTGAAAGATTTCCTGCAGTCCTTACATTCATAAGGCTTTTCTCCAGTGTGGATTCTCTGGTGCAGGGTCAGGGAGCCACTATAGCTGAAGGCTTTCCCACACACGTTGCATTCATATGGCTTCTCTCCAGTATGGATTCTCTGGTGTTGGGCTAGACCTGCATTCTGGCTAAATGTTTTCCTACATTCCTTGCACATAAAAGGTTTTTCTCCAGTGTGACTTCTCTGATGTTGTGTGAGTGATGAGCTGTTGCTGAAGGCTTTCCCACACTGGGTGCATTCATAGGGCTTCTCCCCGGTGTGGACCCTCTGGTGTTGATCAAGGTATGCGACCTGGCTGAAGGCCTTCCTGCACACATTGCACTCATATGGTTTCTCTCCTGTGTGAACTCGGTGATGCTGGGCGAGGTGCGCGTACTGGCTGAAGGATTTCTGACATTCCTTACACTCATACGGCTTCTCCCCAGTATGAATTCTTTGATGCACAATTAGATATCCACGATGGCTAAAGGCTTTTGCACACACATTGCACACATACGGTTTCTCTCCCGTGTGAATTCGCTGATGCTGAGCGAGAAATGAGCCGTTACTAAAGGCCTTTCCGCATTGGATGCATTCGAATGGCCTCTCTCCGGTGTGGACCCGCTGGTGCTGAGTCAGGTGTGCGACCTGACTGAAGGCCTTTTTACACTCAGTGCACTGGTAAGGTTTCTCTCCAGTGTGAACTCTCTGATGCTGAGCGAGGTGTGCATTCTGGCTGAAGGCCTTCCTACATTCCTTACACTCGTAGGGCTTCTCCCCCGTGTGTGTTCTCTTGTGCTGTGCCAGGTTTGCACTCTGGCTGAAGGATTTCCCACATTCGACACACGCATAGGGCTTCTCTCCAGTGTGGATTCTCTGGTGCAGCGTGAGCGAGGAGCTCTGGTTGAAGACTTTGTCACATTCGGTGCACTTCAGAAGTCTCCTTTCCATACAGATGTTCTTTAGTTTCCTGTCACTGGACCTTTTTCGAGAACTTCTCTTTTGTGGCTGGTGCTTGTGTGCTCTTTGTTTCCTGGGGAAGTGCTGTCGTAGGTCTAGAACTGCACCCTGACGGAATGCTTGCCAAGCTGGAATACGCCCTGTACTTCCATCTTCCCGGAGAATCTCTTTATGAGTGACCATCAACGGGCTAAAATGTACCTCCCGGGTCCTCAGCTTGTGCTGGAACAAGTCCTGCCTGTCACAGCCATCTTTCAAGTTGGGACAATGCAGGCTGTGATGAAGCTGGCTCCTTCCCATTGGGACGATTACCTTAGCGGATTCTTCATAGATGTCTTGCTTTGATGAGAATTCGCTGTTTTTAAGTACATACTCCCAATCTAAAAGATACCAAGGAAACAATGCCACTTGTATTTATTTGTCATAAGTAACTTCCAGGGACTAGGAATGTAGCTTAGTGGTAGAGTGCTTGCCTAGCACCCATGAAGCCCTGGGTTTGATTCCTTAGTACCACATTAACAGAAAAAGTTAAAGGTGGTGCTGTGGCATAAGTGGTAGAGTGCTAGCTTTGAGCAAAAGAGGCTCAGGGACAGTGGCCAGGCCCTGAGTTCAAATCCAGAACTGGCAAAAAAAACCCAAAACTTCCAAAACAAAAATAAGAAAATAGGCAAATGTCACTTTTCAGTTGATCTCAGAAACTACAATGGCGTCATGAACAACAACAAAAATAGTTTTTTGAAGGTGCTGGCATTTGAACTCAGAGTCCTATGCTCACTAGATGGGGGCTTTACCACTTGAATCACATCTCCAACTCTGAAACAAGACTGAACCAAACTGCTTGTACTCACTAACATAGTCTACATGTGGTCTTTCCCATCTAAATCACATCACCTGGTTCTTAGTTTTTTCTCACTTTGTCGCTCAGACTGGTATACTCATGATTTGATATCTCCTCTTTTCCTTTTTATCTTCTTTTGGCTTCTTTGCTTTTTTGGGGGGGGGTTGTGGAGCTTGAATTCAGGGCCTGGCTGCTGTCCCCCCAGCTTTATGGTTTAAGGCTAGCATGCTACCACTTGAACACAGTGCCACTTCTAATTTTCTGGAGGTTAATTAGCGTCTCATGGACTTTCCTATCTGGGCTGGCTTTGAACCACGATCCTCAGATCTCAGCCTCCTGAGTAGCTAGGATTACAGGCATGAGCCACCAGTGCCCAACAACGTTGTCTATTTCTGCACAAATGCCTCAGCACTGGTTTTTACTGCTCAATGGCTTAAGATAGGCACCTCACCCAACAACAGGTACCCCTCGGGGTCAGACTTTCTCCAGAGCATCTGTCTGCCAATCCAACTGCAGGATGCATTGCTACTCCTGGTGTTCTTCACAGCTCATAAAAACAGGTCTCTCCTATCCACAGTAAGGTTTATCTTTCCTCCTGCCAAATTATTTTCTTTTATTTCTATTGAATCTTGTCCCTTTCAAGTTGCCCAGATAGGAACGATGAACAGGAAGTGCTTTCCTTCCTCTGTTCTGGCTCCTTCCTCCTCCCCCAGGAAAAAGCATTGGGTGTGAGAGCGTAGTGTGGCTCAGCCCATCTGTCACAGGGTCCCCTCCCTGCCCTGTCACTGACCTTGGCTTGCGCCCCTGGGCGCCTCCTTCCTTGACTTCCAGGGCTCTTTTCCTTGTTCCAATAGTGTGATCACATCAGGCTTATGAATAGAAATTCCTGCTGGCAAGAAATAAAAGAGAACTCAGCCTGGCACAGCTTGCAAGGGTGTCAAGTGCCTGGGCCCCCAGAGGTTGGAGCCCTGGAGACAGGGAAGGGTGCTGGGAGAACGAGGGACCAATGGAGGACAAAGGAGCGGGACTCACCCAAGGAAGACAGATTCGGCAAAGCTCCATCGATTTGGGAGAACACAGAAAGATTTTTTGTCGTGGGGCCTGAACTCTGGGCCTGGGTGCTGTCCCTCAGCTCTTCAGCTCAAGGCTAGCGCTCTACCACTTGAGCCACAGCGCCACTTCCAG